TAAGGAACTTTTACTTATGTGGGTTAATGGAAATATTAAACACAAGCACAGGTACCATTAACCATCAGAGCAGCGATATTATCACATGCCTGTAGCCTCTAGAAAATTCTGTCGCTACAGTTATGAGAGACTGAGAGTGAAAGAGGACAGTATCTTAGTATTCTGAAAATAGTTCAGACTTCACAGGTTACTTGAAAGGGTCGTAGGGACACCCACAGTTCCCTGGACTACACTTGGAGAATCGCCGTTCTATTCAGGGGGCAAATTGTCTCATCCGCTGCAGAGACCAGAAGGTCAGTTGGGGCAGTGCCGTGGCTTGACCTGCATGCTCTAGGGGACCCTGGGGGTGGGTCCCCCAAGGGTTCAGGTCTTGAGATTGGGGAGTAGAACTCTGGAATCCAGCCTCCAGTCTAACGCTGCAGTTACTACAGCTTCTGGAAGGAGTGTGGCTTGAGCGCTGCTTTGGTTTCCAGCTTTTGTTAATCATTAGAGAGGACCCCTGCCCTGAAGTCCACCCACAGGAACCGCAGGCTTTCCGCTGAGCACCACACAGGCCGCCTCTTCTTATCAATACTCAAACAGAACTGTTGAGTTCTTTGCTATTCCTGCCTGCGTTCTTTCATACTTGCTGCTTTTTCTCCCAGCTATCCACATGCTTCCCATACTGCTATGTAGACTCTGCTCAAATGTCTCCCATTAGAGTCTTCCCGATTACCTGTTCAAGATTATGTCACTCTCCGCCCCCCACCCCACACTGTTTGCCCTCCTCACTGTCTTCCCTGATTTTTTTTCTGTAGCACTTAACCACCGTCTGATAAAATTTTTGTTTGTTGTGACAAAAATGATGCAATCTCCATAAAAGTGGGGAATTTTGTCTGTTTTCTTTGCTACTGCATCCCGGGTGCCCGGCCACAGGAGATGCTCCATAAATATTTGTTGTGTGAAAAATGTAAACCAAAGCCAACTTACTTTAGTATCATTCTAGCTGGTCTGCTGAAGGGTCCTCCTGGACAATGCAGTTGTCACAGGTCCCAGGATGCTGGGATGGGAGGGGCCGAGGTGAGCAGTGGTCCAGGGACTTAGCTCACATCACACGGGCTGTCATTGTGCTGCTGTGTTTTATTTTATAGTCACACACACACACACACACACACACACGTGTAAAGTCTGCACTAATTCAGTTGTCAGAACTTGAAGCTTCTTGTGTCTCCATTATCCATGGCACTGTCTTTTTCTTTAAGGATGGTTGCAGCAAGATTTTAAAAGGGTATTTTAATAGTGTTAGATCATCCATCATAATGTTAAAATATGTGGCTTCTTCTAGTAGGATGTGGTGGCACAATGATAGAGAAATAGGGTAGTAGAGCGATTGGGTGTGAGCGTGCACACGAGTGTGAAGACAAAGAACTCTACCCCCAGGGTGGCAGTGTGAGGAAGGCGGGGGCAGTTGCACCTGTTAGATCAGTGCAGCAGCTGCGGGGCTCAACCATGGGCAAAGGCAAGGTCAGATGTGGGGAACCAAGCCCCCAGGAAGGGGTCAAGAGTTAGGGTCTTGCATTGTGAGAATGATGCTTGGGCCTGTTCTTTGGCCTCGGGGGAGGTGACCTGACATTACCCCGGCCTTGTTTGTTATCGGATTGTGCCCAAGAGAAGGACGGGGAGGTGCCGGAGCCTTGGGGCGATGCGTCGTGTCCTTGGAGTTAATCTAAACCAGAATGTTTGTCATGTCTCGGGATGTTCTGTACGTGACCTGGAGGGGTGTGTAAACTTTCTTGAACAAAGATTCTCATCGTGTAGCAAGCATTCTATTTTTAGAACATCTCACTATATAATGACAGGAGTTTTCAATAAACTCGCCTTTTGCCACCAGAGCAACTGGTCGCTCTCTCTTTTCAGTCCGTCACTGCGCGTCTCGAACCCACTGCCTCGCTGGCCGCGGCAAGTTGCGCCCAAACAAGGGACCGGAACCAGAGGTCTTCGGGGGACCACCAGAGTCCTGAGATTGACGACAGCAGAGCCTGACAGGACCGCTGCTACAGGGGCCCGGTAAGTATACGAAAGAAAAAGAAAAACGAAAGTAGCAGGGAGTAGACGAAGAGAGCTAATAAAAATGGGGGTTTCGCTTTCTACCGAGAGGGAACTCTTTGAGCAGGTACTGTGTTCCCTATTGAGGGGACGGGGAATTTCCACGTCGAAAGGGCAAATCCATCACTTTGTAGATTTCGTTCAGCAGATCTGCCCGTGGTTTCCAGAAGAAGGGACTATAAATATAGATACGTGGAAGAAAGTGGGGGAGCGCATCAAAGAGCATTATCAAGCTAATGGTCCTGAGAAGACACCTGTAGATGCGTTCTCTCTTTGGTCTCTTGTTCGAGACTGCTTAAGGGGGGATTCTGAGCTTGCCAAGTGGGAGCGCAGCACGCGGGGCAGTCTCCGTGCTGCTCGCTCGGCGGAGAATCTATATTCCCCACCACCTCCGCCCGACCGCACCTCCCCTAAAATGGGAACCGCCGAAGTATGATCAGTCAGAAGTGAACTTATCGGAGAAACCGCGGGTTCCCGGTCCAGCAGAAGTTGATTGGGGGGACCTTGCTGAGCAGACAGCATCGTATCACCCCCCTCAGGAGGTGTTCCTCGCCTCGGCTGAGGATAAGAAGCCGGCCGGCGAGGCGGATCCAACCCTGAAAGAATTATTGTCTGTGCTTAAAGAATTAAGGGATGAGCGAGTTCAAAGGGTTAGTAAGCAGGAGGTTCAAATGCCCCCAGCCTCAGCTCCCTCTCCTCCGGACCCCCTGTTTGCCACTGGGGTGCCGCTCATAGCCCGTGTAGGACATCGGCTTAACCCTCCACCAGGATTTATCAGGCACAGTTCTCCGTTACAATTAGCATTGCAACAGGCGCGCCAAGCGGGGACCCCCTTGAGGGATTCCCGCAGTCTCAATTGTTTCCCGTTATTAGAAGGCAGGGGCAGAATGATCAGGGAGAGGTTGTTGACATTCGTGATTATGAGCCCATTTCCTATAAGGCATTAAAGGAGCTTAAGTTAGCCTGTGCCCAATACGGAGCTACTGCTCCTTTCACAATTGCTACCATGGAGGCTATTGCTGGGAATGTTTTACCTCCTCATGACTGGAAGACCATATGTAAGGCGGTGTTGGCAGGGGGAGACTACCTTTTATGGCTGACGGAGTATTATGAGCAGTGTGTAGGTTATGCAGGAACAGACGCAGCTCGCCGGGATAACCTTACTGCAGAACAATTGCAGGGGGCAGGAGAGTATTCAGGTGCTGAACGCCAATTGTTGTACCCGGCGTCGGCATATGATTTCATCAGATGGGCTGCTACTGCGGCCTGGAAGAGACTACCTAAATCAGGAGTCCGAAGAGAGGAACTCTCTAAAATTCGGCAGGGGCCTGATGAGCCATTCCAAGATTTTGTAGCTCGGCTCTTGACGGCCACTCAGCGGGTCATTGGAGACGCTGACGCTGCGTCCATAGTAGCCAAGAAGATGGCTTTTGAAAATGCCAATACCGCCTGCCAGGCTGCCATGAGACCGTGGAAGGGTCGCGCTACTTTAAATGATTATATCAAGTTGTGCGCTGACATTGGGCCTGGGTATGTTCAGGGCCTTACTATAGCTGCAGCCTTAAAAGGACAAACAGTTAATGAGTTCTTGGCTTCTAGAAGAGACAACAAGAGAAGGAAGCCCGGACCGCCTGGGAGCTGCTATAATTGTGGGAAGCTCGGCCACATTGCTCGGCAATGCAGAGGAGGTACCCCTCAGAATTCAGGTTCCGCACAGCCAGCTTCGGCCCGGGCTCCTAGTTTATGTCCCCGATGCAAAAAAGGCAATCATTGGGCCAATGAGTGTCATTCCAAGAAAGATAGAGAGGGGAACATCCTCCCGTCACAGGGAAACGGGAGGAGGGGCCAGCCTCGGGCCCCGCAGCAAATATACGGGGCAATGAGCAATCCCGTGCTGGATTCACCTCCAGTATCCAGCAGCCAGACATTTCCCAGCTTAAGCGAGCCACCCCAGGGAGCGCCGGCTTGGACCTCTGCCTCTCCCAGCATGTAACCTTGACCCCTGAGATGGGCATGCAGGCTCTACCTACTGGCACATATGGGCCTTTGCCAGAGGGGCACGGTCGGGTTACTTTTAGGAAGAAGCGGTTTTACCATGAGGGGACTTTTTTGTAGCTCCTGGAATAATCGATTCTGATTATACGGGAGAAATAAAGGTTATGGCAAAAACAGAAAAAGTGATTATTAACCTACCCTCTGGCACCAGGATTGGGCAACTTGTTCTGCTTCCTTATCAAACTTTTTGGACAGCCCTCCCTACAGGAGAAGGGCCGTGGATCCTCTGGATTTGGATCCACTGATGTATTTTTGATGAGGGCCATTAAATTAGACCGACCGGAGTGTCAGCTCCGAATCAATGGAAAGGACTTTAGAGGCATTTTAGACACTGGAGCCGATGTATCGGTAATCTCTCTAAAGCACTGGCCTGAATCTTGGCCTATGCACCCAACTACTACAACCCTCCAGGGGGGTTGGACAATCCTCCTCCCCCTACCAGAGTGCCTCCTTGCTTAATTGGTCTCATGAGGAAGGCTCCTCTGGGACCTTCCAGCTTTTCATTCTTCCCCATCTTCCAGTGAATTTATGGGGGAAGAGATGTTATGGAAGGTATGGGCTTAGTTTTGTGGCAACCAGGAACCCCGTTACAGTCTTTTTTCTTAGCGGCCACGGTCTCTCCTGCTTCATATGCGGATCCTATAGCATGGAAGGATAATACACCCATATGGGTAGATCAGTGGCCGCTTTCCAAAGAGAAACTTTCTGCCGCGCAACGGCTGGTGCAGGAGCAGCTAGCGGCTGACCATATTGAACCTTCTACTTCCCCTGGAACTCGCCTATCTTTGTCATTAAGAAAAAAATCAGGGAGGTGGAGACTTTTGCAAGATTTAAGAAAAGTGAATGCCTCCATGCACCCTATGGGGGCCTTACAACCTGGTCTGCCTTCGCCCGCCGGGATTCCCCGGGCACTTATAAAGCTTGTCATTGATCTCAAAGATTGCTTTTACACGATCCCGTTGTCCCCTGTCGATTGCCCTCGCTTTGCTTTTAGTGTTCCGACCATTAACCTTCAAGAGCCCATGAAACGTTATCAGTGGAAAGTTCTCCCACAGGGCATGGCTAATAGCCCGACCTTATGCCAAAAATTTGTCCAACAGGCGATTCAAATCACTCGAGAACGATTTCCTGATACTCTGATTATTCACTATATGGACGATATCCTCCTTGCACATGCTGAAGAACGGCGTTTACTTGATACCTTTTCTCACATGCAACAGGCTCTTCATTCTTCAGAGCTCCAGATTGCAAGCGATAAAGTCCAGACTGCCTATCCCTACTCCTACTTGGGATTCCAGTTAAAACCCTCCCTTTTTACCCCTCAAAAAATAACCATCAATACGTCCTCTCTCCAAACGTTACATGATTTTCAGACGTTCCTAGGTGAGTTAAATTGGTTGCGACCAGCTCTAAAATTGACTACCGGAGATCTCAAACCTTTATTTAATATCCTCAATGGAGACTCTAACCCTTCTTCCTCTAGATCCTTGACCCCGGAAGCTAAACAAGCTCTCCAGCTGGTCTCTCGGGCCCTACAGGAAGCGCAGTTGACCTACTGTGACGTCACTCGGCCCTGGCAGTTAATTATCATTCCCACTTCGCTGACACCAACGGGCGCTCTCTACCAGCAGGGTGTTTTACAATGGCTCCATGGCTCTGCCACCCCGCGGAAAGCCCTTCTTTCCTATCCTACCCTGGTGGCGGAGCGCGTTCAGCAAGGCCGCAAATTATCTGTACAAGTCCTAGGCAGGGATCCTCCCACAATTATTATCCCCTATACTGCAGAGCAATATTCTTGGTTGATGAATTTTAATGACTCCTTTGCTCTTGCCTTTGAAGGGTTTGCAGGTGAAATAGCTCATCACCTCCCGCATGACAAGATTCTACAGTTCGCGCACGTTGCCTCTTTCATTTTTTCCTAAGGTTGTCGTCAGTGACCCCATCGCAGGAGCCATTTCTCTCTTCACTGACGGCTCCTCTAATGGCAGAGCATCTTTAGTTACTCCTGATAAAACTTTTGTATGGTCCACCTCCTTTTCATCTGCACAGGAAGTTGAGCTCTATGCAGTGTCCCGCCGTTAGAGCTTTTTTCAGCAGGCAATCAATCTTTACACTGACAGTCAATATATCGTTCGTGCCTTATCTGTCCTTGAAACAGTCCCTCTGATCCATACTCACAACCCTACTATTTTTCAATTATTCCTTACAATTCAATCCCTCCTTCAATCTCGTTCTTCCCCTTGTTTTGTCGGACATATTCGAGGTCACTCCCGGCTCCCTGGTCCTCTTACGCAAGGTAATCATTTTACTGATCTTCATACACAAGTCTATCTGTCACAGGTACAGCAAGCTACGGATTCTCATGCCCTTCACCATCAGTCAGCCCGCTCGCTACGATATCAATTCCGCTTGACCAGGGATGCCGCACGACAGATTGTCAAGTCATGCTCTTCCTGTGCTCCCTTATCCCCTGTTCCTCATTTTGGCGTCAACCCTAGGGGCCTTCGCCCTAACGATCTCTGGCAGATGGATGTAACCCACCTTCCCTCCTTCGGGAAAACTTCAATATTTGCATGTTACGATTGACACCTGTTCTCATTTTTTTATGCGCTACACCCCTTCCCGACTGAAAAATACCCGTAACATTATTCTTCACCTCCTTTCCTGTTTTTGCCGTTTTAGGAACCCCTCGTGTACTGAAAACTGATAATGCTCCCGCCTATGCCAGCCGTACTTTTCACAATTTTTGTCTCTCTTTTCGAATTATTCACAAAACCGGTATCCCTTATAATCCACAAAGCCAAAGACTTATTGAACATGCCCATCTTACTTTGAAACACCAGCTTACTAAACTAAAAGGGGGGAGATGGTATGATCCTCGGTCCCCGAAGTTACTGTTAGCCCATTCTCTTTTCGTCTTAAATTTCCTCACTCTAGATACCGAGGGGCGCTCTGCAGCTGACCGTCATTGGAGCCCACGTATGAGTCAATACCCACAAGTTTATTGGAGAGATCCCATTGACGGGTCACGCCATGGCCCAGACCCAGTATTAGTATGGGGAAGAGGGTATGTGTGTGTTTTTCCCACAGACGCTGAGACTCCTCGTTGGCTGCCTGAACGCTGTGTTCGTCATGCCCAAGAGCAAAATTCGCAAGCTGACAAGAAGGATGGAGAAGATGTCGCTGACGACACAGCCTCGGATCAGGAGGCCGGAGAAGAAGCTGCGCCGGCTGGCGCTGTTACTTAGCCTTATCTGGCTCTTGAGGCTGTCGGTGAGCGCGCGCGGAGGTGTATTGGGCTTTCGTCCCGAACCCCCCTGTCATGCACCCAGTCACTTGGGAAGACAACGAGTTCATTCCAGTTTATGTCAACAACACCCAGGTACTGGGCACCCCTTCCGTCGGACACGTGATACCAGTGAGTGCGATGGTCAATTATTCAGGCATATCTACGACGCAGCCGCTTTGCTTCTCCACCTCTCTGGCAAACTGTACTCTTATTCAGAGGTATGAGGACTGGGACAGTGACTTTAGTAATGGGACTCACTGGGGTGTTGATATGCTGTATTTGAAACGCAACAATACCTCCGCCACGATTGGCATAGGAACTCCCCCTGCCGACATTCCAACTTGCAGAAGTCGGACCCCATCGCCCAGCCAATGGGGACCGGCCTGGAGGATTTGCCATCTCAATCAAACAGTTTGCGACCAAGGGGTTTGTGACTGGAGTGACTTTCGCAACGGCTCGTTGCGGCCTCAAAATCTTCTCTACGGAATTTGGACCAAAAACAATAAAACCTATCAGACTATGTTGTGGAAAGCTGTGGCCTCTCTTCAGTATATTACCGTGGCAAAGAGAGCGGTCCAGTGGATGCACATAGGAGCTCAGGACGCCATCTCTTGGTCTGGAAATCAGAAGAATGTTTCTGTGATAGCTTGTGTGCCCGACCCTTTCGCGTTCATCGCTGGAGACTTGCAGGTCTCTCATAATACTGTATATAACCTAACCTGTGATCAATGCTATCTAACTAACTGCCTTAATCTATCTATGAATGTTAGTTCATTTGCTGTATTGAAACAACCTTCTTTTGCCTTTGTACCTGTTAACCTTTCCACCCCTTGGTATGGGGACCCTGGTTTTGCTATCATCCAAAAGGTTAATGACTTAATGTTGGCCCGCACAAAACGGTTCGTAGGAATGCTCATTACAGGAATATCTGCCTTAATTGCCCTTATAGCTACGGCCGCCACCGCCGCCATAGCACTAACAGAAGAGGTTCAGACCGCGGACTTCGTTAACGAGCTAGCTCGCAATGTGTCTGTTGCATTTCAGACCCAAGAGGAATGGGATCGAAAAATAGAGCAGAAGTTGAATGCTCTGTACGATACCGTAAGGGTTGTCGGAGAGGAACTGAACTCTCTCGAGGTCCGCTCCTCTCTAAAATGTCACTTCCAATACTCACATATTTGTGTTACCCTCGTTTCCTTACAATTCTTCTCGATTCCCTTGGGATAAGGTGCGGAATCACCTGACGGGAATCTGGCATAATTGTAACACTTCTTTGGACCTCGCCGCCTTACACAAAGAGATACAGGATCTAGTTAATGCCCCCCCATTGGACGTCGACATTGCCCGAGATGCCGAAAAATTCTTTAACACTTTAGCCGGTTATTTTCCCTCCATTCACCAACTCTTGTACAATTGGCTAGGAACCGGAGTCGTTGTCCTTATCTTACTGCTTTGCCTTCCGTGCATTTTGCGATATCTACTTGGGCACATCCAAACTCTATACCTCGATTTAAAAAGACAAAGATTGGATTATAAAAGTCATGAAGCACCTATTGCCTTGTCCTAAACAAGAAAGGGGGAGATGTGGGGAACCAAGCCCCCAGGAAGGGGTCAAGAGTTAGGGTCCTGCATTGTGAGAATGATGCTTGGGCCTGTTCCTTGGCCTCGGGGGAGGTGACCTGACATTACCCCGGCCTTGTTTGTTATCGGATTGTGCCCAAGAGAAGGACGGGGAGGTGCCGGAGCCTTGGGGGCGATGCGTCGTGTCCTTGGAGTTAATCTAAACCAGAATGTTTGTCATGTCTCGGGATGTTCTGTACGTGACCTGGAGGGGGTGTAAACTTTCTTGAACAAAGATTCTCATCGTGTAGCAAGCATTCTATTTTTAGAACATCTCACTATATAATGACAGGAGTTTTCAATAAACTCGCCTTTTGCCACCAGAGCAACTGGTCGCTCTCTCTTTTCAGTCCGTCACTGCGCGTCTCGAACCCACTGCCTCGCTGGCCGCGGCAGTCAGAGCTCCCTGATCAGAAGCCTTGAAGGTTCTTCTTTCAGCTGTGCCCTGTGGGGCGGTGTGTGTGGTCAGCAGGGACAGTTGCTGGTGCAGAGTTCTCAGGGGGACAGGGTGCCCTGCTCCATCAGGAGAGAACTCCATGTATTCAGGAAGCTCTATGAGGGCTGTATCTTTAAAACCCCTGCTTAAAAAAGTAGAAAAGCCCCCCAAATTGTGTTACCCTGAAAAGAGAGAATGTGAAAGGTGGCAGACTGAGGATTTAAAGGTGTCAGTGTGGATTTATCTGGGCAGGTAGTCAGGACTCAGGAAGGGTAGCTGGACAGGCCTTTCTAGATTTGGAGTCAGGGGGCGCTCCTGAGCAGCAGTGAAACTCCTAGGGTAGTAATTGTAAAAGATAGGACTTTGGATCTTGAGTAAAGTCTTTTGCATATTAAGGCCACATAATGTGTTTAAAACCTGGGGCTCAGGAGTCAGCCTACCTGGCTTCGAACCCTGGATGTACCACTTAGCAGCCATGAGACTTTGGGTAACATCATAAACCTATCAAGGCCTCAGTTTCTCCATCTGGAAATGACCAGTGTCCCCTACTTCCTCTCCTATTTTCTCCTGCATGGGCACTGGGCAGTCTTTCGCCCTATGCCATCAAAATCATTCTTGTCCAGGTCCCCAGTGACCTTGGTGTTGTGCCAGTGGGCAGTCCTCAAATCCTCAGCTTCTAGTGGGCAGTCCTCAAATCCTCAGCTTCTTTGTCCCATCAGTCACACTGAACCCACCCGCTTACTTTTTCCTCCTTGAAGCACTGTCCTTTGACTGACTTCCCACTTACCTGATTTTCCCCATAATCTCACTGACCACTTCTCTTCTTCTGGTGGCTTCTCTTCTCTCCCTTCACTTCAGAAAGTTGGGCCATTTCTAGACCTTTTCTCTTCTATTTACTCTGAGTTCCTGGGAGAGCTCATCCAGACCCATGGCTTTAAGTAGCATCCACATGGTGACAGTGCCCTCATTTTTATCTGTGCCCCAGGCCTCTTTCAACTCCAGACTCATATGTCCGCCTACCATCTCGACCTCCCCACTTTGATGTCTCCTTGACTGCTCAACTCAACAGGACCAGACTACCCATCTTCCTTTTTCTTTCCACCTCGTCTTCTTCATCTCAGGTGATGGCACTTTGTTCTTTTAATTAACCTTCATCTGCAAATCCTGTTGGTGCTAGCTTCCAGAATACATCCAGAAATCTGGTCACATTTTATCTTTTCTGTCACAACTGCTCTGTTCTCTCTCTCAGATTATTTCAGCAACTTCCTAACTGACCTTGCACCCGCCCTCATGTCTCCATAGTCTATTTACTGCAGCTGCTAGAATGACCCTATTAACACATTAAGTCAGCGTGTGTCACTGCTCTCATGAAAACCTGTGCTAGCACCCACCCTACTCAGCATGTAAGCCTGAGGCCTACTGGCGGCCCATGGGCCCTGTGTGGTTTGGCCTCCCTCTCTCTCTGACCTCGACTCCTGTTTTCCTCTTCAGTCATCCTGCCTCAGGGCTTTTGCATTGCTGGCCCTTCCTCCTAGAGGGCATGCTCCTCTCTCGGACAGCTCTGTCCTAGCAGACATTCTAGGACTTTCATGATCACCCAGTTTAAGACTGCATTCCTCCTCCACTCGTGCTCTCTGCTCCCCTTCCCACTTCCATGTTCTCCGCAGCACTTATCACCACTGTACCTGACACAGGGACCTGCGTTTCATTCACTGCTGTATTCCTAGTGCCCTGATGCCCTGACCAGTGCCTGGCACAGGGTAGGCACATCATAAGTCATTGAGGAACAAATGCAGTCGGGTGGTGCCTGGCACACAGTGAGCATTCAAAAACAGCCCGCTGCCCTGACTGGGAATCAAACCTGCAACCTTTTGGTTAGGGGATGATGCTCCAATCAACTGAGGCACACTGGCCAGGGCAGGCTCGGCTTTTGAATCTCATCTAGTCAGTGCTTTTGTACCAGCTTCATCTAATTCTAACCAACAGTGATATATTTGATTGCTTAATTAGCCTGGACAGCCATTCTTTGAGAGGTGTACAGGTTCCATTTGGCTTTTTGAAGTATTTAAATAACTCTGGAGACTCTCATTATTCCATAAGAGGATGTTCGAAGACTGGCAAGAGGCTCCATACATAATTCATCTCTTAATATTTATTTAACCCTTACTAGGTTTTAAAAATGCATTCTTTATTTTATTCATTTATTTAACAGTTACCTGTCTAATTTGTTTATTGCTGTAGCCTATGAGAGTGTTCTTAGCTAACTTATATAGATGAGGAAACTGAGGTACAGAGAAATGAAGTGTCTTTAAAAAATCTCAGTGCAGTAGCTGAGACAGAAGCATAATTTAGGCTTCCCCACGCCCAAATAGTGCACTCCTGAAAAGGTGTATGTGAGCAGAACTGTAATTTAAATGCTTTAAAAAGCAAGGTCACAGGCTGGGGGCTAGTGAGATAATGTTCTCCTTGGCTTGCAGGACCTTTAAGAAAATTGAGGCGACATTTTCCAACTGGAAGATTTTAAATAAAATGAGGATTTCTAATTTCTTTTGAAGAGTCCATTCTGGAGCACCAGGCCTGTCCCTCTGGGGCAAGCACTGGTTAGGGGAGGTAACAGTGGGCTTCTCAGGTGTCCCTCACCTGTCCCAGGTGCATCCTTGGAGACCCCTGAGAATCCCCCATTTAACTCCCGCCCGGTTCATGCTAGGCAAGCATGGGGGCAAACTTGTCTCTAATCAGTGTTTTGATTGAAAAGGGGAAAAGGATGCCGAAATGGAGGCTGCATTGAGGACTCCCACTCTTGTCAGGTGAATCTACCTGGACTTAAAAGTCTGAATTGTATTTTGATGATTTTTCTCCTACGTTGTGACCTGTCTCTCTAATGCATTTTGTCCTTTTAAGTTCCTGACCCTCCATATCATGCCTCCTTTTCTTTTAGCAAAGTGAATTGAATTCGTTCTTGTGGACCATAAAGAGAGACCCACCATCTTACTTCTTTGGCACAATCCATGTCCGGTACACACGGGTTTGGGACTTCATCCCGGACAACTCCAAGGAGGCTTTTCAGCAGAGCATTATCGTGTACTTCGAGCTGGACCTCATGGACCCCTACACTATCTCAGCCCTCACTAGCTGTCAAATGCTGCCACAGGGCAAGAACCTCCAGGATGTGCTCCCCAAGGACATCTACTGCCCCCTCAAGCACCACCTAGAGTACATGAAGCTCATGATGCCCTCGTGGATGACCCCCGACCAGCGTGGTAAAGGTCTCTATGCAGACTACCTCTTCAATGCCATTGTGGGGAACTGAGAGCGCAAGAGGCCCATCTGGGTCATGCTCATGGTCAACTCCCTGACCAAAGTGGACATTAAGTCCCATGGGGTGCCTGTGTTAGACCTGTACCTTGCCCAGGAGGCCGAGCAGCTCAGGAAACAAACCGGGGTGGTGGAAAAGGTAGAAGAGCAGTGCCATCCATTGAATGGACTAAACTTTTCACAGGTAAGAATGTTTTTGCACGAAGAACTTGACATTTGATTGTGTGAGTGAATTGGCTGAATTACAACATAGGAGATGGACCAGAAGCACATTTTACCTAAAAACTCTCTTTTCTCAAGAATGTTATTCTGGGGATTAAAAATAAGCCTAATAGTCAGTTACATCATTTATTTGTGTATTACCAAGAGAGAAAACTTGTTTTTTCTTGTAATCCCAACAAGTATTGTGTGTTTTTATTGCTTGTTTTAATTCAGGTCACTCATTAAGAAGCTGTCTTGAGAGGATGTGGACAGCGTGGATGCCAGACTGGCTGGCACAGGGTGTGGCTGGCTTTGAAGATGATGCTGGCCATGGCTGTTACAGTGTAGTTATTTTAGGCAACATCAGTCTCTTTGAGGTCACTGCTGTCGCTCTCAGGACACTCCTACCAGGGCTGCTTTCCTTTCCAAAGCAGAGGTAGCTCCTCTTCCTCATCATTTATAGATCCTGCCTCAGGGTATTGGGATTTAGGGTTATGTTCAAGAAGTTCTTTACTTCTCATGAGACAAGCAACACTTTATTAAAGTGCCATTGTTTAATTGTTCTGGTGAAATTTGTTGTTGATGTTTTAAGGTGTATTACATACCCCTGGGGAATAATGGGAGTTTTGCAGTGTGAAATAAATATTCTTGTTTTGTAATATTCTCAGTGCTTGGCCTTGGGAATAAAACCCAATTGTCTTGGCCTTTAGCAGATCTTAGAGTGCTGAGCTCAGATTATTATTTCAAGGGTTTAAGGACATTCAATATCCTAAACATAGTGTTCCTGAGGTGATAGTGAAATTTTTAGGGAATTTGTCTTGCTAAAATCCTATAATATTAATAAATACTCACATGCTAAAATATAGTATTTGTTTGACACATTGAGATTTATATACAAAGTAAGGGACTACTAATTGCCTGCATCGCTCTTCTGGGGCAGTTTTCTTACATTATTTTGGAAACCTAAAGAGCCAGTGTTCTAACTTTGTCATCATCTACATTTAATACGTTTCATAAAAGGAAGGTGCTTTGATTTAAAGGTGCATTTATTTTGACTTCACAAGTTTGAAATTTGTGAACGTCTTTACCCAAGTCAAGCCTTTTTTTATTTAATAAATAATTATTTTAGTTTTGCAAAAGAACTTAAAATTTTATTTTTCAGTTACAGTCTGTATTCAGTATTACCTTGTGTTTGTTTTGGGCGTGTAGCGTAGTCGGTTAGATAGTCCCACACTGTACAAGGTGCCCCCCCACCACCACCGGCCCCACCCCTGGCCAATGTTTCCAGTGCTCACCTCACACCATAGGGAGTGTTCTGGTGTTATCGGCTGTATTCTCTCCGCTGTGCTTTACTTCCCTGTGACTGTCCTGTAACTATTAATTTGTGCTTTTTAATCCCTTCTCTTTTTCCACCCGGTCCCTTGAATCCTCTTCCCCTCTGACAACCATCGGTCTGTTCTCTGCATCTATAAATCTGTTTCAATTTAGTTTGTTTATTTTTTTCTTTAGATTCCACATATAAGTGAAATCATATGGTTTGTCTTTTTATGGTTGACTGATTTCACTTAGCATAATACCCCCTAGGTTCAACCAAATTGTAAGATTTTATTCTTTTTTATAAAAGCCACATAATATTCCATTATATATAGGGTCCGACAGAAGTTAATACCTACTTAAATGTGGTTGGCAAGGTACGTGAATGTCTCACATGAGATGGATAGCAATTTGAATATTTCACCTAAAATGTCATATTGTGTGCTTGAGTATGATATTGTTATGTCATAGAATTACATACTTATGATTTTGTAATAAAAGATGTTGTAACAAAAAGGAGGCATTATTTGTGCTGGACCCTGTATATGTACCACAGCTTTTTTATCCACTTGTTTATTGATGGGTGCTTGGCTTGCTTCCATATCTGAGCCAGGCCTTCTTTTATACTTGTAAATGGATGGGGAAAAGGCTTGGAAGTCAATTTTTGTCTTAAGCAAGACATCTTTGAAGGAAGGTATGTAGCACTGTCTTTTAAGACAATGCATTTAAGACATTTTAGAGCATTATGGTTATACACTAGAGTATCATTTATTTCTTGAAACATTCTTAAGGTTCATATGTAAGCATTTATTATTTATAAACTAATATTTTTAGAGGACCTTGAGGTTAAGCTGGTGAGGTTAGAGTTGTTTAGATTTAGGAGGAAAACTTGTATGATGTATTCCTGAGACTTTCTTTTTTTAGTGTAAGTCCCCTACATTTTATTTATAAACAGTAAAATGCAACCTTAGTGTACAGCTCAATGATGTTTAACATACACATATACCCAGATAACCACCACTTGGATTGATTTGTTGAATGCTTCCATCACCTCAGAAGGTTAGTATAGAGTTTTCATTGCAGCATAACTATATAGAAAAGTGCACTTGATAAATTTTCACTAACATGGCCACATGCCCAGCATCCAGGGCAGGAAATGGAATGGCACCAACAACCCAGAAGCCCTTTGTTCTCCACCCTGCCAAGGTTAATCACTGTCCTGAACATCTCTGAGCATAAATTATTTGACTGTTGTAGACCTTCACATAGATGGAATTAACCTAGCACGCCCTCTCGAGGGCTTGGCTTCCTTCGCTCAGCATTACTTTTGTGACTCACCTGTGTCGCTGTGTGTAGTTGCCCATCAGTCGCTCTCATGGCTGTGTGGAATTCATCAGGATTTTGGGGATGGTGGTTGATGGATCCTTCCTTCTCAGTGAGTCCAGACTGTAAGATCGTATGCACGTGTTTTGCTAGAAGGTGAGCCTTAGAGACCTAACTCATTTCCTAGGGCCCCTTTCTTCTCCTGTCCATCTGAGAGTCGCTGGTTCCTCCCTCCTTGGTCTCTGTAGCTCTGAAGAAGGAAAACAGTGGGTGCCTGATTACACAGTGAGCTGGGCGTGGGGCGGTGGTGGTAGTATTGCCGAAGGCCAGTCCTCGCTGCTCCTGAGCCCACTTTCCTGGCCAGCTGCCTGCAAGAGGCAGAGAGCACTGGAGCCAGGAGAGCCCGCCTGCTCAGCCTGCCCTGGGAGGAGTCCTGAGGGCCTCTGCCCAGGGCTCCCCACCCACCTCCTGGATTGTAGTATGGGGCAGGAGGATTCTAAGAGACTGAGGTACAGCTGAGGCCGAATTACTGCAGGTAATGAGAGAAGCACAGAATCCAGAATCCTTAGAATTCCTGCACTGTCACCAGCCTGTCACTTTGAGCTGTCGGCTTTGAACTTTGTTTTCTTATCTTTCAAATGTGGACACTAATACTTCTCCTACCATCCTGTTGTCAGAAGCAAGTAAAACAGTAAATTGGAACATACTTCATAAATACTGTACACATATAAGGGGAAGAGAATAAACATACAGTGCCTTCTGTAAGCTAGTTCTCATCAGTAATTTTACATTTAATTCTCAGAATTTTACAAGTGGGGAGTGTCATCCCTATTTGATAAATGGGAAAACTGAAGTCAATGAGTTTAGCAGCCTTGCCCATGATCACACAGCTAACAGCTGGGGGAATTTGGGCTTGATGTCAGATGTGTTAGAAGTCGCCGCGCCTCTGAGTCTCCACCAGCCTATGGTGGTGGGTGCGAGGCCTCGAGACTAGATGTGTGGCGAAGGATCCTGGACGTCTGTTGTCCAATTCAGTGACTGGCCACCTGTGGCTGGCTGTTGAGGACTTGAATTATGGCCAATGTGACCAAGGGGTGAAATTTTAATTTTATTAAATTTTAAATTAATTCTAATGAAGGTTAAGAAGTAATACTTGATTCATTGATTGGAAAACTTTTAAGTATGTTTGGGAAAACTTGAGAATGTAAATCCCCTTTTTTAACCTACAAATTTTATGAAAGTATTTCTGATGAAAATTTAGTGTGTAAATTGAGATGTGCTGTGAGTAGGAAATGCTCAACAGATTTGAAGACCGAGTATGAAAAAATAAAATAAAATATATCATAAATATTATTTTATATTGATTACATGTTGAGATGACAATACTTTGAATGTGTTTGGTAAATGAAATATTTTATTAAATTTAATTTCACCTTTTGTCTCTTTTTTAATGTGGCTTCCAGCAAATTTAAAATTAGATATGTGGCTCATCCTATATTTCTTTTTTTTTCATTTTTTAAAATTTTAATTGTTGTTCAAGTACACTTTTCTGCCCTTTACTCCCATCCCAGCCCATCTCCCCAGCCCTCCCCACCTCCCTCCTGTTTCCACCCCACCCCTAGTTTTTGTCCCTGTGTCCTTTATATTTGTTCCTGCAGACCCTTCCCCTTTTCCCCTGAAATTTCCTCCCATCTCCCCTCTGGTCACTGTCAGCCTGTTCTCTATTTTAATATCTTTGACTATATTTTGCTTGTTTCTTTGTTTTGTTGATTAGATTCCTGTTAAAGGTGAGATCATATAGTATTTGTCTTTTACTGCCTGGCTTATTTGGACATATAGGAAAGAATAAACAAATGGGATCTCATCAAAATAAAAAGCTTCTGCATGTCTAAAGAAAATAGTATTAAAATAAAAAGAGAACCTATCATGTGGGAAACATATTTGCCAATGATACCTCAGACAAGCATTTAATCCCCAAAATTATTATAAAGAGCTCACATGACTTCACTCTAAGAAGACAAGCAACCCAATTAAAAAATGGGCAAAGGACTTGAACAGACACTTCTCCAAGGAGGACATACAGGGGGTCCAGAGACTCATCCAATTATTTCTGTCGAGCAGTGCTGATCCAGATCATTCTGGCCAAGCGTGTCTGAGGCAGGTCCACTGGGAGGCTGAACTGCCTGTGATTGGTCCCAGCACTGCCCTCTCTGCCCACCTGCCTGGGCAGGGCTCAACTCTGGGGAGCCTCTCAAAGCCCGTGGCTGCCTCTTCTGGGGTCTGCTTTTCTCTGTTGACTTGCAATGCTCTTTGACTTTAACACATCCCCAACACATACACACACAC